CCACAAGGCAGAGGAGCTTCACAGAATCTGTGTTAAGCCTGCTACTATTCAACATGTTCACACATGATCTCGATGTATGATGCAAATGAGCTGGGACGTGACAAAGCTGCTAGCGATACAAAACTGATAACATTGACTAGCAGATGGATCTCAGGAAACAGAATTATTGGGAAATGCAAAGATGAATGAAATTCAGCATCAATAAACGCCAAATAATAGACATAAGTGGAAAAACAACCAGCTGTCAAGCATAAACTTCAGAAAGAAACCCAGCATCACTGTGGAAAGTTCTATGAGAAACATCAGCTCATTCAACCAACAGCAATCAGAAAAGGTAAAGAGAACGTGAGAAATTACAGCGAAGAAAAGGGGTAAGAGAAAACAAATGTATCATTGTGGCACTGCATAAATCAAACCTCTGGTGTATCTGTATTTATAACGCTGCTTACAGCTCAGTCCCTTATGCTCCTAAGCCCCCACACATTTAAACACAAACAGAAAAGGCCAAATACAGAAAGAAAAAGAGAGAGAGCGCAAGAGAGAGGGAGATAGATAGATACATATCACAGCTGCTGACTTGATAACTGAAGGGAGGGCAGTTGTATCTAGCTGATAAAGGGACGTATCAAACAACTTTGTGAAGTCTCTTGGGATTTCCTCTCCCTCTTGCAGACAGCCTTTCAATCGCTCAGACAACGCAGCTGTATCTGGGATCATTGTATAGTCTGAAATCTGAACACAAAGACACCGCTTTGAGTGAAAAAAAAATTCATTTACATAGTCTCTTTCTAGTTTTTACCTCACTTAAAATCCCATCTGTAAGTAATTATATCACCGTCTACCAGCTATGACCCTTCACAGTGTAGCTTACTTGATTTAGTAAACTGTGCAATCCCCCTTTTCTTAGCTGTAAAGCCACTCCACCTGCCACATGGATGCTTTATCTTAATTGGCTGCTTTTTATTAAAATGAAATAGAGAGCTCCCTGCCGTCTGCTGTGAAAGACTGTAGTTCTCCCTTCTCAAGAACAGCATACAAATCTGCCATGTAAGGTATTTCCAAATAAAGAAACAGTATTTGCATACACCGGTTAAAAATCAGCTAAAAGTAATGATACACAGGTCAACCCCTACTCAAATAGGGAAAATCTACCTTTACCTTATATATGCTCCTCCTGCCTGAAGGCTCAGAACTGAAATACAAGCCTACTGAACTGGAGCAACAAACCATCTGGTAAACACGGGCAAATTTAGAACATACTTCTGTGACTGAAGCGACAATAAGCATCAATCCAACTCTGGCAGAGATATTATGCCATTATTTACGCCTAGCTCCTCTGTCTATCCCACCTCCTGCCACGAATTAAAGGTCTGCAACAGCAGCAGCATTTATCTAGCTGTTAGTCATTTTCTGCTGAATACACGGTTTGGCAAAACTGGTCCTGTTGGATCAAACTATCGTTTACTTCTTTGTGATGGATCTCTTACCCCAGGGTCCTCCATATCCACCTGGTTTAACTGCACATCTGCTGTTGTGAGCCACTGCAAAAGCACATCCTGGAGAAGGGCAAAACAATTAATTTCAGGAGAGTCCAAGTAATCTATTACAATGCTAAAACTGCTTAAACACTCATAACAAATCCAACTAATAACACATGCTGAAAAAGAAGGAAAGAACTGTGTAATAAACCAAAGACTACGTAGGGAAAAAATACAAACTTTGTTTGTATTTACTTATGGAAGCAATGACTCACAACAACGAGCACGCTTCTTGTTAGATGCGTGCTTTTAAGGAACACCTCAGCAGAAAATACCCTTTCTTACACATGAGGACAACACTACATATTCCACTTTGGAAAGTCCACTATTACCTCTAGATGGTGGGAGCCATACAGGCAAAGGTTTATTACTAATCATGTAGCCATAATCAAGCTCTAAAGAAGCTCTAAATAAGTAACAAACCAAAAAGCTACCAAATAATTAAATATCAACAACAATGACAGAAGTAGGAGAAGCTTTTCAGAGTGCTATAAACAATAGCGTATTATTTATGTTAAAAACACGTTCCTGTTACTCGTGTTTCAACAAACTCCCCATAGCTGTCTTGCTCTAAGAGGAAGCTAAGAGACTTGAATTACTTTGAAAACGCTGTCAAGTTCCACTAAGAAAAAAAATTTTTTTTTTAAACTTACCATGATCTTACTGTTTTCTTCTTTATCTAAATACTGATCACAGAACATGTGGCAAGATCCCAACACTGCCATCTTTCCACCTTGAGCCTATCAACAAAGAAAATATAGCAAAAAATCCTTCCCAATCAGAGCTTTAGAGGCAATTGTTAATGCAGTCTAATTACAAAGTGATTTAAGGAAATAGGAACTTTGGAAAAAGCAGTGCCAAAGGCAGTTTCAAACATGGTAACCTCATAAGATTGTAGCATTATTTTAAGAGTATGTATACGCTTACTTTTACAAGGCTTATCATCTTACTAAAATAGTGATCTATATTTCATAGCATTAGAGAGAGAATTGATTGGCAAGGCAAAAAAAAAAAAAATACACGGTATCATCAAGGATAGCTGCACTTAAAGTCATTTTTGCAGAAAAGAATACTTTTTTCAATCAAGTAAAAAAGAATTACACGAATTAAAATATGCTTGAAGTGGCTGCAGCCTTTCCTTGAGTAGTTCAGAACGTATTCCTAAAGAACTGTGACGTGCAAGCTTGTCAATATGGTAGGCATTCCCGTCAACTAATGAGAGAAGAGTTTGATAACTGTATTCTTTGTAAGATTAAATGCAAAATACGTAGGACATTACACGTTTAATTTAGCTAAATTAAACACGTAGGAAAATGCATGCATGAACCTTCTTTATAATTCTTCTCTATCCAGGTTACCCCGTAACGCTTCTACAAGGGCATATACAAGAAATAGGAAGTTTTCAACACAACAAAAACCAGCAATGTTTTCTGCATCAAGTATAAAATTCATAGCATAATATAATCGGGAAGTTTGCTCTAATAAGTCTGCAGATAAGTCACAAGACACGGAATAAAAAGACTTATGCCTCTTCCACCTTTGTGTCTAAAACTTCCTTCAACTAGTCAGGAAAAACAATGCCCGATTAAAGATCTATTCAACGTTCATGCCCCTGTAATGTATCAAGGGAAGAACTGCCAGTGCGATGTAAAATTGTTTCCACTGCATAAAGCTATTATATTTCAGTGATCAACCTATGCAAATGACTTCATGGAGATACAGAAATGTTTTTTGGGCTTCATCAATAGTATAATTTAGTAGTTGTAATTCTCAAAACACTTGCTTCCATACTGGTTAGGGGAAACATACATAAGGTTAGGGGAAACGTAAGTAGGGGACCCTACTCACACAGGTACAGTATTGAAACATAATACTAACTGTCATTGTTATAGCCCCAGCACAGTTCAGGCTTCACATGACTTAAATGATTCACGTTGCCAAAAAGCATCTTCATCATTAACGCAAATAACCTTTAAGATTATCACGGGCACAAGATTAGGCATGGGTCCATAGGTTTGGATCTATGTGCAAATATAGCGGGGGGAGGGGGGGATTTAATTGCATCTTACTCCGACAGCTGCAGACTAAATACGAGCAGCAAGTGTACTTGCAAGTTCACTTTATGCTGCTGCATCGTCTCTAATTTATGGGGCTTATTTCAGACACAATATCGGCAAATTAAGTCAGACATCTTCAGAAAAAAAATTACCTGCCTAAGATAGCAAAAGTCACAGTACTATTAGAAATGCATCTACATAGTAAACAACAGGTTAACATATTACATTCATTAGTCACATTATCTCTTTCTATCCATCAACTACTCCTTGTTTTCCGTGTTTTTTTTTTTTTCTTCCCCCCTCTCTCTCTCTCCTTAAATTAACTAACAGGTCCCAACAGGTAAGATAACACATAAAAATCTACCGGTTCCAAGAAGACAGTCCTCTCTCCTCATTCAATATGGCCTATTTATGAAGCAAACAAACTCACTTACTAAACTGTCACTAGAACAGTGTAAAAATACAACAAGGCTGTGAAGAAGAACTAAAAACATCCCTCTCTGGTATCCAAACAAATACAGAATCTTCACTGACCACCAAATTCATTCTCTCCTTTGAACCCCACGCAACTAAGCTTTCCATAAAAGCAGACAAGAGTCGCCGGGGCTCACATGGAGTTTGCAGATGCATCAATATTAGAAGTGCTTTATAAGCTCTGCCGGACAACATGCATGCAATTCTTGTGGGAGGTAGGGGGGAAAATACATGGTGTATTTCAGGCAGAATCATACCTCATGCTGATAAAAGGCAAGAATGGGTCGGTTGAGCGGGAAGCAAACAGATCCTGTTGACAAAACAGCCACGGCCGGCTTCATTACATTCAGTGTGGCACCAAATGGATACACAAAAGTGAGAGTTCTGCAGGAAATATAGAAACTCTCCAAGTACTTGCTGTATCAAGTAGGCCGGTCACATTTACAAGACTCAGTCTATCTGCCTAAACTGCAAACTGTAATTGTGTACTGATGATGCAACGCTAAGAGGCACGCTTTATAAAATTCAGACAACTACAATGACATTTTAGGTTCTTTCTAGAGGTTCACCAGGTGGAGGATTTGTTTGGCTTATTTAAGTAACGTAGAACACTTCATTGCCATTTGCATACTTCTCCGAGAGAAGTGCAGCAGTATTTAACTGTAAATATGTAATATAAAATTTATGATAAATGTCTCTCTTACTTGTCTAGCTTACTCTGGAATAAACCTCTTGGAAAAGAACTAGAGTTCATCCTGCCTGCAGCCAGACCACCCACCAGAGGGCATTCATATTTATGTCGTTTCACCAAATTCAAATCCACAGAAAACGGACAAAGAAGACCTGGTCAGGAGAGCAGTAATTGCCTTCCCACTCCTGCTCCTCCACTAGTTGCCAAGACTTACAAAACAGATTCTTCCTTCCACATAGAACCTTGAGAAGCAAGAATCTGACTGACCTTAAAAATATATTAGAATATCTCAACGCAAGCACAACGCACTCCTGCTAGGTTACAAGCCTGGCAATTCAGATTTAGGCTGTATCTTTCCACATAAGCAGCTTCAGAGAGAACACTCACTGTGCAGCACGTCCACTTCCATCGTCATCTGCTGTCTCAAACCCTGTTTTTCTTGCAGCCTCACTGATTCCTCTACAAGAGATGGAAAAGCAAAACCTCCTGAAAACACAAGGGATTACAAGACTTTACTGTAAAGATTTATATACCCAAAATATTTACCTGTTCAAAACTCCATCAGAAATCAGTGCTTCTTTTGGGTGGAAGTACTTGTAATATACATTTCGGACTACAGCATCTTGAAAACAAAAACAAAGAAAGTTAAATCTTAATGATTAATGTGACATGCTAGACATAGCAATGAAACAAATGCAGCTCTGGGCTACCTCGGGTGTTTGCTTCTAACACAAAGCCAGCAGGTGTTTCCCAAAAGAATTTAGCTCAGCCTCAACCATAACTTCCTTCTGGACTTAAATTGGATTTACAACAGGAATATATTTGCAAGTTCAAATAAAAACATGCAGAATAAGCACAACTCCACATCTCCTGCAGTTGTTACAGATGAAAAAAGATGGCCATACTGAAAGAGTAAATGTTTATCGAGTTTTACAAGTTCAAATTATTTTTTTGAACGTCTTCCAAAACTATCGGTGTTCTGATGCAAAAAGCATAGCCTACAAGACCAGCTGTCCAACTGCCACCAAAGAGCCTACAAATATTTTATATACTGAAACACACAGTTCAGTTATATTCGGAAACACAAACTCTTATGAATGGTGTTTTACCATACTGAAACACACAGTTCAGTTATATTCGGAAACACAAACTCTTATGAATGGCGTTTTACCAGGCCGCTAAAGAAAAGCGTCACTATTTATTCAGAGCGAGCACGAAGTGATTCAACCCATTAAAACACACAGACAAAGAGAGAAAAAACTGCCTGTAACTAAAGGCACTTTACCAAGGAATGTCACTAGAATTAACTTTTGTTAGTAAATACCATTAAAACTGACAACTATAGCAAAGGAATAGAGATGGCTGTGTTATCAAACTATTGTGGGCATGAAAAGCCTTTAGTGTAGTTCAGTACTGTACTACTGCGTACATGTAGCTTTTAAGGAAAACGGAGCAAAACGTACTCTGTGCAAGGTATCTACATGGCTTACACTGGAATTTGCTGGAAACAGAGGAATAAAAAGGTACCAGTGAGTCCCATTACCGTTATTGACCACTACCCCATAGTCTTCCAACAAGTAGTTAATATTCGTGCCGTATCTGGATTCACCGCCTTCTGTCAGCATCACCAGCATAGCTCCACCCTTCTCCAGGAATTTTTTCAGAACAGAAAACTATAAAGTAACAAAAAACCACAAAAACAAAAAACACACACATAAGAAAGGAGCAAAGAACTATACTGCAGGAAGTTACACTAAGATGAAGGAAGGTAACTCTTTCTGACTGGCAATGAATTTGATCCTATGAGAAAGGCATTCAACTCTCAATTTGTGCAAATGTACATAAAGCAGTAATATTACATACAAAGTCTTCTGCACTGTTCTTTTCTCTTTTACATTAAACAAATCTAAAAACGTAACTGATCTGCAAACAATTACTGACTTCTTACCTCAGTAGCAGTGAACTTTTCTCTTGGCCCTGCTGTAATCCACAATTTTACTCCAGTCAGTTTCTCTGATGTGATCTCACCTTTTACACTACAAATAGATAATCAAAAGATGTTATTCTTGAATATAGTCCTGAACCACAACTTTTTGCAAAGAACTGGCAAATAAACATAAAGCAAATTACTTCAGTCACTTCACATTCTTGTCTCTTAACTTAAAGTCAATAACTCAAGCTAAAGTAATCCTTACCTGTTTCAAACCATTAAAGACTATAATACACTTAAAAAAAAAAAAATCTAGAACTGGTATAAGCTGTCATAGCTGCTATCAAACTTTGCACCAGATGAGCTTCCTCTTACTCTTTTTTCCTCTTCCTCTGGATCTATCTTGTAGCAGACAGATAGGTAATATAGTAAATTTAATACAGAAGGGCTGGATTTCTTTTTATTACAAACTTTATCGCAACATAGATTCAGAAACTTATATTTGGAATTTCATCTTTACAACTTGAGCTCTGTCTCTTCCACAGGTAAGGTACCTGAATGCTTCCAAAAAGACTAGGCATAGCATCCTGGAGCAGAATTACAGCTAACGTTGCAGAGCTCCGTCAAGACAAAGAAAGATTTCAGCTTGCTATAAAGAAAGATTTTAGCTTGATATGGATATTCCCAAAGACTATTCAAGTAGGTCAGTGCTTTAAACACTATAGACCACATACAAATTTGGGGATACCTCTGCGGTCCCCTAACTCCTACCCACTGGGTCTGCACAGTGGTTCTGGATGAAGCATCCTTTCCTCTTCACACAGGGGCAGCCAATTTCTCCCTTGGAGATGAGGTGAATCCACATAGCCTTTCTCCACTGGCTGCAAAAAACACAACTGTGCCTTTAGTCCTGCCTATAAAGGAACCCACCGACCACCCTTATGGTGGAAGACCTACAAACCCCGGCTCTTCAGGCAACTACCGCTGTCAAAGACGGAAACACCGGGACAAACCAGAAGGATGAGGATAAAAGCAAGCAGCTAACGCTGTGCCTCACCGCAGCACGCCCCCAAGCCCTCCCTGCCCGCCTGGCGGCGGGGAACCCGCCCGCTCCGCCAGGGGGAGTCGGCCGCGCCGCGGCCCCCCGGCGGGCGCC